TGCGTGCGTGCGTGCGTGCGTGCGTGCGTGCGTGTGTGTGTGTGTGTGTGTGTGTGTGTGTGTGTGTGTGTGTGTGTGTGTGTGTGTGTGTGTGTGTGTGTGTGTGTGTGTGTGCGCGCACATCCTAGGGCTGATAGTTAGTATTATTGAGAGAAAAGCATTATTTCTTTTTAAAGAAGTGTGGTGTGATATAGTGCCTTATCACTGACAATAATAAGTTTCTGCCCTTTTGGCATCCCACAGAAATTTACTTAGTCAATGTGATAGCATGATTCGGCTGCAATTAAATCATTCACGTCTATAATACATACAAAGACCTTGTGTGCATATTTGCATTTGTGTACACTTTAGACTGTATTATTAGGGTAGAAACATGGCTCGTCTTCTGCTTGCTTTCGGCACTCTGACAGAAAATACACAAGGTCAAGTCGACTGTTGAAGTACCCCTGCGTAAAAAGCAGTATCCTTCATTTGAAACACCAGTCTGTTCATTTCCTTGTGAAGCATTGGACTGTTCCTTGGCAAGCCTTACATTTATTTTTCCCTAATGTGTGTATGCCAGCTACGTATATACCGCTGGCTACGTGTATACCGCTGGCTACGTATATACCGCTTGCTACGTATATACCGCTGGCTACGTATATACCACTAGCTACGAATATACCGCTGGCTACGTATATACTGCTGGCTACGTGTATACCGCTGGCTACGTATATACCGCTGGCTACGTATATACCGCTGGCTACGTATATACCGCTGGCTACGTATATACCGCTGGCTACGTATATACTGCTGGCTACGTGTATACCGCTGGCTAAGTGTATATTGCTTGCTACTTATATACCGCTGGCTACGTATATACCGCTAGCTACGTATATACTGCTGGCTACGTATATACCGCTGGCTACGTCTATACCGCCATTGATGACGTCTCCTGGTACACACACACACTGCACCTTTTGAATAAAAATGTACAAGCAGTGCATCAACTATCAATATCCTCTGGCACAAAGATTCCTAAAACCAAATATGTGATAGCAAAGTCTTTTAGTACAGTCTGGATCCTTCAGTCATAGCAATGGCTTGTATGCATTTATTTTCCACTTTCGCCTTCATCTTCATACTATGTATTTGACACATTATCGGATAGGGTTCCCACCTGTTCCTGTGATTTCCTGAACGGTTCTGTGGGTAATTATGTTGCTAAAATCATTAGTGAACCTCACTGCATGAATGAAAGCAGTTTCATTTGATTCATTTGACATGCATGTGAAGCAGTATAAAAGCATTCGTGTGGCATACATGTAAAAACGCCTTTGAAGTAATTATGCACTTAATATGCAAATTTGTGATCTAAACAGTTTGCCTGGAATATAATTCTGTCAACAAAAGGAAAACATTCAGCATGGCTTTGCATTTTTTTGCCAAAATGCTTGTAAAAAGTAGCTCTTCACGCAAAATCTAAAAGTCGCTCCATAAGGGAAATATTTGCAAAAATACCATTTTTTTCCTTCAGCATTTCCATGAAATCCAACATTTTGAAATCCTGTGGTAACATTATTAATCAATATATTGTAAAAAGAGTTCATTGTATGGATGGAGAATGATAAATAAAACACTTTTTTTTAAATTTGAATTTTGCACTCATTGACCTTTGACCCCAATTTGTGACCTAATTAGGCATTTTTGAGCTTAGCAAACAACAGATTCGTATTCAGCAGGAAAAACTACCCTAGAAAATGCTATTTGCTTGCTTTTACTCAAAAATGCCTCATGCATCATTAAACTCCACATTTCTTAGAAATTTGACTAGACGATAAGCGGGTGTGTTGTGACAGGCGCTGACAGTCTAAGGGAGATAACTTTAGCTACCAGAAGTTAGAATTAATGCAGACACTCTCAGTGAGTTTGGATATATTAATGTTGCACGGCAACTGGTAAGTAAATCTACATTATTGAAGCAGTTTTGTACATCTCACCAGGATATCTGGTGGTTTCAGATTATGTTGATGTACAGATATTGTAGAAACAGCCGTTTTGTGTCTGGTTACAGAATGTATGTTGTAAGAGGCTGTGCTGAAGATTGATCTTTCAGTTGGGGGAATGTCCAAAATGATGCATGTCTTGGGTGTTTATTTTGTTGTCGACCAACGGCTTGGTGCTGACAAATCTAATGATGCAATGTTGTTGCTGATAATGAACAAAGAAAACACAGCGCCTCACATATCGCCAGCGTATTGCTCGTCTGACTGTGGACATTATCCACACACTGCCACCTGGATCCATTGTCTAGGGCTGAGTTGATCCTGAGAGTCACATTGTGTTGTGTGGCATCACAGCTCACATTGACCCGACCTGACAGATACAAGTTGAAGATGTCAGGGTTGTTTACACTGGGACTGGTGGAACCTTGTGTTGTGGAGAAGACTGGTGATACACCATCTCTCTTCCACTCTCTGTCTTGTCCCCCAGTTGTGTTACTGCTGCAGATCAGGGTGAACAGTTCTCCGTCTGTCGCTGTCAACGGGGAACTTGTCAGGACTAAAGAACCTGATAAAAATCACACATGAGAAAAGATATCACAATCTTATTAAACCCGGGGACAAAAATAAGTGAGTAAGTATAATGTGATGTACAAAAGATAAAATTACTCGTATGCTGTTCTGCATTACAAGTAAAGACATTTGTCCATGCCGTTAATGCCATACCACGACTGTCTGTTTTAGTCTTCCTGATTGAAGGTTATTTCACCTTCTCGAATGTTTCTGAGTACATAGACATTCTTTCAATATTGAGAAGTAACTACTAATAACATGCTGATGAATTTATAGCTGCAGAGCTAAAGTGAGTGAGTGAGTGATTTTAGTTTTACGCTGCACTCAGCAATATTCCAGCTATATGGCGGCAGTCTGTAAATAATCCAGTCTGGACCAGACAATCCAGTAATCAACAGCACGAGCATCGACCTGCGCAACTGGGAACCGATGATATGTGTCAACCAAGTCAACGACCCTGACCACCCGATCCCGTCAGTCGCCTCTTACGACAAGCATGGGTTACTGAAGGTTCATTCTGACCCGCATCTTACACGGGTTTGCAGCGCTAAAGACGCTGATTTAGTTTTCTGTTACATTAAATCCGAATCGAGATTCGAACCCACTACCTTCAGAAAGTACTCAATGATGTATTCCGAAATACAGCATGTGTTACATCTGACCACTTTCTGAAAGGCACTGTGTATTGCATCACCGTTGTTGTGAGTCGCATTAACACGACACTGCAAACATTGGATTGGAAGACTATTCTGCATGAAGAACATATGCACAAGAGTAAGTGGTTTATATTACGATACTAGTATCAGGTAGCTCAACGCATATGTCAGGAAAATACTATTCCGTTTAACGAGCACCCACCTACGTGTTCTGTGAAGCCAACGAATGTCAGTAGCATCAGTCGTGAAATCCGATACATGACCATCATACAATCAGCGTGGTCCGTCTGTAAAATATACAGCAGTTGCTCATCCATTCTGTTATTCTACATATTGGTGACCTAGGCAGTTCCGATATTCCAGGACAGTGTCACAGTATGCACCCTCTTCTCTGATTTATCTCTGAAATAACGTTCTTTGATGTCAGCGTCTAAATCGCGTACTTTATGTTACACATCTCTATCCCCCTGAGAGTAAACCTGTGTATACATGTAGCAATGACACAACACCCTGTAATCACTGTGTCGTTTATATTGACAGTAAACGAGTCGTGTGTACACAAGTAACGGATACTGATCAGGTGCAAAGGTATGTACCGGGTATTTTCTCCAAGCGAAAAAGGGCCCTCATTCCCATAAATACTTTGATACGTTGACCTAATGTGAATGCCAGAATACCTTCGAAATATTCCAGAATAATGTACCAAGGAGTGACTAAGTGAGTATGGTTTTACGCCACTTTTAGCTATATTCCAGCAATATCACGGCGAGGGACACCAGACATGGGCTTCACATATTGTACCTATGTGGTGAACCGAACCCGGGTCTTCGGCGTGACGAGCGGGCGCTCTGGCCACTACGCTACCCCACCGCCCCTTGTACAAAGGAAGTGAGATGTAGGGATTTGTCCGGGTCAGTGTCACCATCCTCATCTAGCACTGCAGTGATGACCTATCTAAAGATAACAGAATATATCCTTACACCCTGTAAACAGTCGAACATCGTTGTGTTGAAGTTGAAGAAACACGTAAATACGTCGAGTTTCACAAGGTTCAACACAACATTAAATAATGGTTGAAACAAATTCGGAGGCATTTACTTCGAGACAACCGTTGGTTTCATACATCAAAGTTCCACACAACGGTGTTTATCTGTACTTCAAGAGCTTCGTGTCAACAGAGCTGCATTAACCTGTGTATGTACATAACATGGGACTGCCACGGGCGTACCGGGGTCATCGTGGCGTAGTCAGTAAGCCATCCGTCACAAGATACGATAATGTTATACAGTCAGCTTGGTGTTTATTTACTCAAACAAGGAAGTTGTTGTTGTTACGCATTCACCACTTGACACATTTCAGTGCAATATTATCACGCTATTATTATCAGCGTATACACCCCTCTGCCATCTTCACTCGCCATCTGCGGGAGTACAGCAGGCTAACTTTCATCTCATCCTCGATAATCTCCACTGGAGAGTTATCGTAACGTATACCCAGGAGATTATCGAGGATGACTTTCATCTATGCGAGTCTGATGAATTTTACTTTCATTCCTGTGAAAATCACGTGAATGGATCACAGAAATTCAGTGATGACACCAGGTGTTCGCGAAAAGAGTAGGTATGCCCTGCCCTACCCTACTGGTAGCAAATGCCATTGTTACGGCATCCCCCTTGTAGTCTCTCTGTGTGAATGTCAATATAGAAGTACAATGTATGCGTTTCACATTACAGCGACAAGTGTATTATACCAGTACTTACCTATCTTAGCCTGGTGGACGGGTACTCACCTATGTTATCTGTGCAGCCTACAAGGAACACGAGACGGAAGACAACTGTGTCAACTGAAGTTTCCTCTCCTCACCCTCAGTGTTGACAACACCAACCAACGGACTGTATAGCATATGGACAGAGCTCCAGATAAGATTAAGCTCATGAGGGTACTGTACCCACTGTATTTTTTTGGAGTGGGTATTATGAATGTTGAGTGGGTATTTCATTTTCCGTTACCCACTGCTTTCAAATATGTGCGTATTTCAGTCATTTTACTCACCTAAGTATTATGTCATTGAGTAAGTTTACTAAGCAGGTATGTTCTGAGTTATGTCATACCTAATCAAAACCAACTTAAATATAATGAAAATGATTTCATAGTACAACACTTGTCCTATACTAACAGTACGACTTGATATCAATAGATGTCTTTTTCATTACGCAAGCGATTTATATAAATATATTCCGTACGCATTTGTTTTAAATTTGTTGTGTATCTAACATTTTAAATGCGTAATTGGTACGCAACAATTATTTTTCAATGCGTAATTGGACATTTTCTATGCGTATTTTACCCGGATACGCAGCTTATCTGGGCCTCTGTATGGATACACCAAGAGTGATAGCAGCTACTTTGTCACTCACAGTTTGCAGACTAGAGCTGCGCATTTCTCAAGTCACAAGATATTGTAAATAGTAACTAGGGCGTGCACCTTTCCAACCCGGAAGTACGTTCAATGATTTAGGCTCAACACGATCGGGATGTGGTTTGATCTACCCACTGATATGTGGGCATGTTAAAGTCTCTCTCTCTCTCTCTCTCTCTCTCTCTCTCTCTCTCTCTCTCTCTCTCTCTCTCTCTCTCTCTCTCTCTCTCTCTCTCTCTCTCTCTCTCTCTCTCTCTCTCTCTCTCTCTCTCTCTCTCTCTCTCTCTCTCTCTCTCTCTCTCTCTCTCTCTCTCTCTCTCTCTCACACACAATGCTTTCATTGCTGCTTGCGAGTTTGAAAAGCATATATCAAAAAGGTCAGTCAATGTTGATATTGACATCGACAATACCAGTGAACGGTAACAAACTCCCACTTCCTAACCCGTTATCTACTTGTGTGAACCAGTTTGAGTCCTGTGGATGACAAACCTGTGTTACACGGGTACGTGCTGCGATCCCCTCTCGTGCTACGATGTGAAACAGTGTGAGCACCCAGACTGTACTTTAGATGAACCAGTAACGCATACTCCTCTGAAGTCTTAGTAACAAATGTATCAATGAACGAATTGCGTTCCAGCCTCGTTTAAGCCTGGTTGTTACATTTGTTTGAGTGGCATTCTAGAAGCTGGTGGTATAGAGATGACAAAACGTTAGGGATATCATATGCTTGAAAACGGTATAAGAATCTATACTCAAACGTCGCCATTGTGAAAATAAAGATGTTGGTCATCCATAAAGTTTCGTCATCTCTGGCTGCTACACTTGGTTACAGAGAAAGTCACAATGTAACTGTAATTGTGTTGACATGAACAGAGAATACTGTACTCGTGGGATACCATGGAAGATAAACGAGTTCCGTCAACACGGTATCTAAATGATGTGTTAGTTTGATCACCCAATTCAAATGACACATGTAAATATATATCACAATGTATGTTTGTTCTTATGAAATACGTCGTCATATGAGCGAAATATTCTCAAGTACGACGTAAAACCCAATTTCACCTCACCTCTAATGAAATACATGTACTGTTGCAAATCCAGTAGCGTATGAATATTGATATGTACTTTTCAACGTTTACTAAAAATCAAGTTTTGATGATATCAAGCAATAATCCAGCAGATAAAGATTAAAATATGCCGGTACACGATGATAGGTAATCCCTACTGGACCTCAGTTTCAAGATGAACGAGCTGCAGCTCGCCTTCTCCCGACATCCTGTCTCCCAACAGCTGTTCAGGTTTGTTACTTCGTTATGTAACGTCTAACTCAGCAATATTCCAGCTAAATGGCGGCAGTCTGTAAATAATCCAGTATGGACCAGACAAGCCAGTGATCAACAGCATGAGCATCGATATACGCATTAGGGATACGATGACATGTGTCAACCAAGTCAGGGAGCCTGACCACCCGATCCCGTTGCTCGCCCCTTAAGGAATGCATGGGTTGCTGAAAACCAATTCTAACCCGGGTCTTCACGGGTTCCAATAGCACTGGATGTAATCTTGTGTGTTTTGAAATATGAGTTTATTTCTGTGATTTGCTGACGTTTCAATTTCGGTCAGATACTTTAATTTTGACATGTCATCTGAGTGATTATTGCTCACATGCCGTTTGTCATTGTCATGTCAGACCACAGACGTCACGCCATGTTGACTTTGGTTATCTCAACACATACACTCGATTAGATTATTTCCTTAAAAAAGGTCATCAGTAACATAGAGAAGCATACGCTCAAACATATGGACGATGTGAACATGTCTGTGTACACACATTAATCAAGGGTTCTTTGTTCTGTTACGCCCATTAATGATTTTATGAGCACTTCATTCAGTTTACCCTAACAGAGTTACTTCCCCCGGTGGAACTCTTCCGGAGGAGATAGACTTGTGATCCCTCACAACATGATGTCGTCTGCTTTCAGCAGCTCATAATTAGGAACCAATTACTGACTGACTGAGTTTAGTTTTATGCCGCTTTTAGCAATATTCCAGCTATATCACGGCGGGGGACACCAGAAATGGGCTTAACACATTGTGCCCATGTGGGGAATCGAACCCGGGTCTTCTGCGTGACGAGCGAACGCTTTAACCACTAGGCTACCCCACCGCCCCAGGAACCAAGTAACCAAGGTTAGGCAATTTCACAGTCCCCACAGTATAAGTTTTATTCCCTTTTATCTCTGTAAGTTTTTTTGCCAATTTCACTATTACTTTTAGTCAGGAAATGAGCATTAAATGAAATTTTAAATGTTTTGAACTTGTTCTGTGTTTTGTCTCCATTAGCAGAGGTCACACAGTTTTACTTCACTGAAAATATGATTTTAGATTTGAATTGCATTCTTGTTTCATATTAGAATGTCTAAATAGGCTTAAACATTTGTACAGTTTTATTTCAATGACCTTTTAAATTATCAAATCATTATTGATTTGTCTAGCCATTATTGTAGAACTAATTCGATCTTTTAATGTCCATTTCGGACTTTTATACAAGACTGAATAACTGGTCACAGTACATTCTTGCTATTAGGTGTGCTGTTATGACAGTAGCAAGGATCAACTTCAATATTTACATTTAACTTCAACTAAAGATAGTTCAAGTGCATGGAACAGCTGCGATCACTCAACACAACGCCAAATAGGGCGGGTCTCCTAATCTCAGGTCCACATTCTGATACCGCCCACAGCCTCGCGGTGCATTGCTAGGTTTCCCAGACGCATCAGCAAGTTTATACCTTGGGAAGTGATGTCAATGTGACGGCAAGGGAAGAAATATCTGTATAACACTGCACTGAAATAGAGGATAATGTCAGTTACGACTTAAAGCCGAGAGCATCGTCACCGTCAGTAAGAAGAAATAACTATCATCTAACACTATTGTTTTACAACAAAGATCAACAATATTACTCCTCACATCTCGGGTGTCATGGGCGCCAAGTCTGAAGCCAGTACCGCCGTTTTATAAGTACCGCCGTTTTCACTGGTATTAGGCAATACCATGTCAGGGACACCAGAGATGAGCTTCAGACAACGTACCTAAACATAGAATGTGACCTGGGCGTGGGAGGGAACGCTTTAACCACTCGGCCACCTCACCGCCTGACCGGCCACCTCACCGCCGGACCAAACCACCAAAGCCATGACACCAGATGAAAGGTGTGGATTCGAGGGTCTAAGAGATCAGATCGGACATATGTACCCAAGTAGCGTCTGCCACATCTGACCTACTAGTGTCATGTTGGGATGAACGTCATTGTTTTCTGATGCTACACTCATGTCCCAGAAGTCCAGGTAATACACATAGTGTGGTGTCTCTGAACCTCCACGGTGTTCACTGTGTAGTGTTGTAGATAGATAGATAGATAGATATTCTTTATTTCCTCCATAGTTTGAAGATTACAAAGTGTATGTATATTATACAGTCATATTAATGGTACATGATACAACAGAAATGCTCATGAAATAATTTATACAGGGTGGTAAGGTGAAATACAACAGTTATAAATATTTTTCCATTTACATACAGAATTTGAGACACATATTATAACATTTGCCCACACATCATAGTTTAGCTGGTTCTTTACATCTTTCGGTATTCCGCCAAGTAGAAATTTCAGAAATTCATCATCATCATCGTAGGTCCATAATTTTACAAAGATATTAACATCAAGTAAGTCACAAATTTGTTCAAATAAGACATTTCTTTCAGCAATATTAATCTTACAAGACAAAAAACGTGCTTTAAAAAATATCGTGCGCCACAGTGCCACATTCACATTCCTTTGACTGAATGGGAACAGAACCCAGTTTAATAAAAAACCAATACGTTTATAGTACCTTGGTCTGTCAAGCGCCAGTTGCCATAGTCGATTAACACCGTCCGATCTTATTGACTGATACCGTATCAATGACAGCCTTGACTGCATGGCATACTCTGCTGCTTTTCTATCACATTGTAAGACCTTTTCCCGTACCATTCTTGACCATTTCCTTTTACATAAAAATTTAGAACATACTACATATTGTTTAATTTCTTCCTGGATACCATATTTAGCTAATAATTCCAACATATGAAATATAGGAGATTTCATATCTCGTTTATGCTTTCTGCCAATCATAATTTCATTGTCATATTGCAAGATTCTATGTAAAAACAGCTGTTTAAAAGAAAACTTAATACTGCTGTTACATAATCTGCCAAGTAGCAACAGAGAACGTTGATCTATATAAGCTTGTAATGATAAAATACCAAGGTTATCCACAACAACTTCATTAGGCATATACCTATCAAAACCCTGCATCCTATTACAGAAATAACGCTGTGTGGTTTCCAACATATCATATTCTTCATTAGATAGCTTTCCCCATACACTGTATCCATATAGGCAGCATGGCAGTGTAACTCTGTCCCATATACGAATTGCAGCAATAGGATTTAATCCTCCAAAATGCAACCCTGAGTCATGGTTAATATTAATCATTTTTCTCAGTTACTCACAAACATTACCTGTTCTATTAACAGATGATTTGGAGGTAGTAAAAGACACTCCGGCATAAATAATGAATTGTGTTACAGGTACATGGATATTACAAAATAAAAGGTCATTGGGCGATACATTTTTGTTGTTACCAAACATCAATACAGCACTCTTACTTACATTATATTTCAGCTTCCATTTGTTTGCATAACATTGAGTTACGCCTAACAAACATTGTAATCCCTTGGGGTTGGAGCTGGTAAGGGTTGTGTCATCAGCTAACAATAAGCCGGGACATTTTCCCCATGGGAGGCATAATCCACAACTTGTTCTACTGAGATCATATAATAAATCATTTATGTACAGTGAAAAAAGCCACGCTGATATAACACGGACTTGCCCGACACCTTGTTTAACATGAAATTGGTTCGATTTGAACCCTGCAAAACCAACATATGAGTGCATAGACATATAAGATAAACGAAGGAGTCTCCACATTTTACCAGATATACCAAGTTTGTCTAATGTATTAAATAGACCATCAAGCCACACACGATCAAACGCTTTCTCATTGTCGAGAAAAGCACAGTATACTGGTGAGTTCTTTTCATTGTAATATGCAATGGTTTCAGTAAGTGTAAGCGCTGCCATCTCAGCTCCTGCGTGTTTTCTGAAGCCAAGCTGGAAAGGGTGGGGGAAGGAAGTGTTATTATCTGTCCATTTCTCAATTCTATCTAGGAGCAGACGTTCCAGGAGCTTACTCAGGGTAGATGTTAACGTTATGCCACGATAATTAGATGGATCCATTTTACTTTTGCCTTTACCTCTGTGTATTGGGAGAATTTCGCACGTGGCACGTACTCATATCGGATGATGGCATTAAACAAGGCGACAATATGAGTGATTAATGATCTCCCTGCGTATTTGATATGTTCATTGCTCAGACAATCTGGGCCCGGGGCTTTATTGTTTCTTAACCCTTTCACTGCATTTAGTACCTCTCTAAATGTAATATCACATGATAAGGGGGAGGTAGTATCATCTGCTTCAGATTATTTGGCTTCAGTTTCAGAAACATACTTTTCGCATTCATCTGAAAAAGCACTATCAAAGGCACTGTCTAAGTGGGGAATCGAAAGATGCTTGAAATATTCACCAAAAAAATTGCACATCCTTTCAGCATCTGCGCCTGTATTACCATCATATACTAGTTTGTTAATAGTACCAGAATCTCCTTTATACCGTTTACTTGCCTTAAAATATTCATGAATATCAACTTCTGCAGCTTTACAAACTTCATCAAATCTATTATCTAAAAGAGATTGTTTAGATTTTCGATGCTGCCTTCGAAAGATACGTTTTGCCTTTTTGTAGGATGCATAGGAACTATCATTTTGATTATGTGATTTCCCATTCTCTATCTAGAAACGTCTTTTGCAGCGCATATCATAATGAAGATCTTGTAAATCATTCTTTTCCAGTAAGGTTTAATATGTGGGTGGAATTTGGAAGAAGGGATATACATGATTGCAGATGCAGTAAGTACGTTTGTAATTGATTGATTATATGACTCAATGAAGTCGGCATTGGATGAAAAGTGGGAAGGGTTACATATATCGTTACAGAAATAACTTTCTGTTTCATAACGATATAACATATGCTCTGTTTCAGAGGCTTTCCGCCAACTTAATTTAGATCCACCGTAGGTAACATTTTGGGATTCTAAATCAAAACCTACTAGAATAGGTTTATGATCAGATACATTGTATGGAATAGTACAGTCAATAGTGTGACCAACTACGTTATGTAAATTGTCAAAAAGTACAAATACATAATCCAACATTGTTTTAACCTCATTACATTTTGTTGAGAATGAATACTTAGCCTCATCGTCCAAGGGTACAACCGAGAATATAGATCGTTCATCCAGCGCTCTCTGTAACAGACGAGATCTGGTTTTATTGTCAACACAATGACGAATGTCTGCATTGAAATCACCAGCAAGTATGGCCGTCCCCTGCAGTGAATATATATCAAATAGGTCCATCGTGTACTGTAACTGTTCTCGGTAGGCCGTGCATCTTGTACCACTGTCTGTATTCACGCAGTGTGGTGTGTCTGTACCTCCACGGTGTTCACTGTGTAGTGTTGTAGTAGGCCGTGTCTCCTTTCTGTATTCACGTAGTGTGGTGTACCTGTACCACCACGGTGTTCACTGTGTAGTGTTGTAGTAGGCCGTGTCTCCTGTCTGTATTCATGTAGTGTGGTGTATCTGTACCACCACGGTGTTCACTGTGTAGTGTTGTAGTACGCTCTGCCTCTTGTACCACTGTCTGTATTCACGTAGTGTGGTGTATCTGTACCACCACGGTGTTCACTGTGTAGTGTTGTAGTCGGCCGTGCCTCCTGTCTGTATTCACGTAGTGTGGTGTACCTGTACCACCACGGTGTTCACTGTGTAGTGTTGTAGTACGCTCTGCATCTTGTACCACTGTCTGTATTCACGTAATGTGGTGTATCTGTACCTCCACGGTGTTCACTGTGTAGTGTCGTAGTAGGCCGTGCCTCCTGTCTGTATTCATGTAGTGTGGTGTGTCTGTACCTCCACGGTGTTCACTGTGTAGCGTTGTAGTACGCTCTACCTCTTGTACCACTGTCTGTATTCACGTAGTGTGGTGTACCTGTACCAGCACGGTGTTCACTGTGTAGTGTTGTAGTAAGCCGTGCATCTTGTACCACTGTCTGTATTCACGTAGTGTGGTGTATCTGTACCACCACGGTGTTCACTGTGTAGTGTTGTAGTAGGCCGTTCCTCCTGTCTGTATTCACGTAGTGTGGTGTCTCTGTACCTCCACGGTGTTCACTGTGTAGTGTTGTAGTACGCTCTGCCTCTTGTATCACTGTCTGTATTCACGTAGTGTGGTGTCTCTGAACCTCCACGGTGTTCACTGTGTAGTATTGTAGTAGGCTGTGTCTCCTGTATCCCTGTCTGTATTCACGTAGTGTGGTGTCTCTGTACCACCACGGTGTCCACTGTGTAGTGTTGTAGTAGGCTGTGTCTCCTGTATCCCTGTCTGTATTCACGTAGTGTGGTGTCTCTGTACCACCACGGTGTCCACTGTGTAGTGTTGTAGTAGGCTGTGTCTCCTGTATCGCTGTCTGTATTCACGTAGTGTGGTGTCAGTGTACCACCACGGTGTTCACTGTGTAGTGTTGTAGTAGGCTGTGTCTCCTGTCTGTATTCACGTAGTGTGGTGTCACTTTACCACCACGGTGTTCACTGTGTAGTGTTGTAGTAGGCTGTGTCTCCTGTATCCCTGTCTGTGTTGACGTAGTGTGGTGTCTGTGCACCCTCCACGGTGTTGACGTACTGCCTCGGAGCCATGGCGTATTGGTGGTCGACGTAATCGTACGCTGATGTAGAGGCGTATACGTTTGTATTTGGGGCATCTGAAACAAATAACACTTCAAATGTTACTTCAAGTACGGAGTGTATTTTATGACAAATTTTCGTTTGCGTCACTCGTGTCCTAGCATGTTTAGTGTACAAAGCATTCTAGTCTTTTTGACTGTCTAAGTCATTCTCATTCTTGTTTTTTTGTGATAACATCATGCATGTAACACCTATAACAAGGCATGTTCCACACCTTTGGTCTTGTTCTTGTTGTGCGTCCACAGGGCGACGACAACGACAGTGACGACGCTGCCGAACACAGCACCGCCAACAGTTCCAGCTGCTACGTAGACGCCACTGGGGGAGGTAACACACGCTGTAAATGGGAAACAACAGTCACTATTCTGGATCAAAATTCGAATTTTGTTAGGGCTCAGGGCTCACGCTACCAGAACGAAATTACAACGAAATTACAATGAGTGAACGGTTTCCCAACACGTGGACACAAATATCTCCCCGAATCTGTTGTCGTGCTCTATGAATGAATACTACTGACATTAATGACAAACACCATAACAGTGTTAAACTGAGTAGATGTAACATTGCTCAAACATACTACACAATCTAAACAATAAACATAAAACAACATGGTAATCGTTTAAGTGTATATACTTTATTTTTATAATGTATGCAATTTCAAACAATGTGAAAACGTATCACTCCAGTTGTTTTAAGTCATTGCATATGTTTAACTGGTGCACTACACAACATGAAACAGTATATGTAACTCTGGTAAAGTTATACAACATTCTCGGTGTCTTCAATGATACTTAGTTCTGTGACAATCTTGTAGGTTGAGCTCCTGATTTCAGGAAGAGATATTGATAACTTTTAACAATTGATTCACTTTTCTAGTACTTTTTCTGTTATTATTATATGCCACATTTCTTTAGCGCCCTATATGACCTACTTCCAGATCACTCTAAGGCGCTTCACAAGTTGTTTTCCCCTCGATTATCGGATGTCAGTCTCAAACGTCACATTACATTATCAATCGCAACTCCCTGGGGCAAGTACTGTACATTAAGGGTAGTGACAACACTGAGAGAGTCTGCACACAGAGTTGACTCCGAGGTTTTTACACCCGGTCGCAGGTGGGCTCGATCCCGGCGCCTCAAGCTCGTTGGATCACCAGCCTGGCGCGTTAGAATATGTTTTTTGTTTTACTTGTACAGCAGATCTGGGTTTTATCTGAAGGTAAAGCCAGCGTCCGTCACGAGCCTACCTGGACATTGCTTTGTCGTTGTCACAGGGGAAGTACTGATGGACATACTAGTGTCACCTGGGGGAACTGTTGACGCAGACGATGATGATGCTGTTGTGGTTGTTGTAGAAACTGTAGAAACTGATGCAGAGTGTGTTGACTGGGGAACAGTCACATCTGAAGCAAAGGGGACAAGTTAATAAGTACCAAAAGGTTAACACTCTTCGTCTTAGTCACATTCTGTTAGTGAGCGAGTGAGTGAGTGGTTTACGTCATTAAAGGCACAATGTCACACAGTAGTTTGGCCTATATTATATATACTACAAACAAAAAGTATGGGAACACCCTACAATTTGATAGTCATATATAAACTTAAACGGACATACAAGTGTCACCTGGGGGAACTGTTGAAGCAGACGATGATGATGATGTGGTTGTTGTAGAAACTGTAGAAACTGATGCAGAGTGTGTTGACTGGGGAACAGTCACATCTGAAACAAAGGGGACAAGTTAATAAGTACCAAAAGGTTAACACTCTTCGTCTTAGTCACATTCTGTTAGTGAGCGAGTGAGTGAGTGGTTTACGTAATTAAAGGCACAATGTCACACAATAGTTTGGCCTATAGTGCGTGCGTGTGTGCGTGCGTGTGTGTGTGTGTGTGTGAGCATCCTAGGGCTGATAGTTAGTATTATTGAGAGAAAAGCATTATTTCTTTTTAGAGAAGTGTGTTGTGATATAATGCCTTATCACGGACAATAATAAGTTTCTGCCCTTTTGGTATCCCACAGAAATTTACTTAGTCAACGTGATAGCATGATTCGGCTGCTATTAAATCATTCACGTCTATAATACGTACAAAGACCTTGTGTGCATATTTTGCATTTGTGTACACTTTAGAATGTATTATTAGGGTAGAAACATGGCTCGTCTTCTGCTTGTTTTGGGCACTCTGACAGAAAATACACAAGGTCAAGTCAACTGTTGAAGTACCCCTGCGTAAAGAGCAGTATCCTTCATTTGAAACACCAGTCTGTTCATTTCCTTGTGACGCATTGGACTGTTCCTTGGCAAGCCTTACATTAATTTTTCCCTAATGTGTGTATGACAGTTACTTATATACCGCTGGCTATGTATATACCGCTGGCTACGTACATACCGCTGGCTACGTCTATACCGCTAGCTACGTATATACCGCCAGCTACGTATATACCGCCGGCTACGTATATACCGCTGGCTACGTATATACCGCTGGCTACGTATATACCGCTAGCTACGTATATACCGCTGGCTACGTATATACCGCCAGCTACGTATATACCGCTGGCTACGTATATACCGCGGTAACATTATTAATCAATATTAATCCTGTGGTAACATTATTAATCAATATATTGTAAAAAGAGTTCATTGTATGGATGGAGAATGATAAATAAAACACTTTTATTTAAATTTGAATTTTGCACTCATTTACCTTTGACCCCAATTTGTGACCTAATTAGGCATTTTTGAGCTTAGCAAACAACAGATTCGTATTCAGCAGGAAAAACTACCCTAGAAAATGCTATTTGCTGGCTTTTACTCAAAAATGCCTCATGCATCATTAAACGCCACATTTCTTAGAAATTTGACTAGACGATAAGCGGGTGTGTTGTGACAGGCGCTGACAGTCTAAGGGAGATAACTTTAGTTACCAGAAGTTAGAATTAATGCAGACACTATCAGTGAGTTGGGATATATTAATGTTGCACGGCAACTGGTAAGTAAATCTACATTATTGAAGCAGTTTTGTACATCTCACCAGGATATCTGGTGGTTTCAGATTATGTTGATGTACAGATATTGTAGAAACAGCCGTTTTGTGTCTGGTTACAGAATGTATGTTGTAAGAGGCTGTGCTGAAGATTGATCTTTCAGTTGGGGGAATGTCCAAACTGATGCATGTCTTGGGTGTTTATTTTGTTGTCGACCAACGGCTTGGTGCTGACAAATCTAATGATGCAATGTTGTTGCTGATAATGAACAAAGAAAACACAGCGCCTCACATATCGCCATCGTATTGCTCGTCTGACTGGCGACATTATCCACACACTGCCACCTGGATCCATTGTCTACGGCGGAGTTGATCCTGAGAGTCACATTGTGTTGTGTGGCATCACAGCTCACATTGACCCGACCTGACAGATACCTGTTGAAGATGTCAGGGTTGGCTACACTGGGACTGGAGGAACCTTGTGTTGTGATGAGGACAAATGTACCATCTCTCTTCCACTGTCTGTCTTGTCCCCCAGTTGTGTTTCTGCTGCAGATCAGGGTGAACAGTTCTCCGTCTGTCGCTGTCATGGGGGAACTTGTCAGGACTAAAGAACCTGATAAAAATCGCACATGAAAAAAGATATCACAATCTTATTAAACCCGGGGACAAAAATAAGTTAGTAAGTATAATGTGATGTACAAAAAGATAAGGATTACTCGTATGCTGTTCTGCATTACAAGTAAAGACATTTGTCCATACCGTTAATGTCATCCCACGACTGTCTGTTTTAGTCTTCCTGATTGAAGGTTATTTCACCTTCTCGAATGTTTCTGAGTACATAGACATTCTTTCAATATTGAGAAGTAACTACTAATAACATGCTGATGAATTTATAGCTGCAGAGCTAAAGTGAGTGAGTGAGTGAGTTTAGTTTTACGTCGCACTCAACAATATTCCAGCTATATGGCGGCAGTCTGTTAATAATCCAGTCTGGACCAGACAATCCAGTAATCAACAGCACGAGCATCGACCTGTGCAATTGGGAACCGATGACATGTGTCAACCAAGTCAACGAGCCTGACCACCCGATCCCGTCAGTCGCCTCTTACGACAAGCATATGCATGGGTTACTGAAGGTTCATTCTGACCCGCATCTTACACGGGTTTGCAGCGCTAAAGACGTTGATTTAGTTTTCTGTTACATTAAATCCGAATCGGGATTCGAACCCACTACCTTCATAAAGTACTCAATGATGTATTCCGAAATACAGCATGTGTTACATCTGACCACTTTCTGAAAGGCACTGTGTATTGCATCACCGTTGTTGTGAGTCGCATTAACACGACACTGCAAACATTGGATTGGAAGACTATTCTGCATGAAGAACATACACACAAGAGTAAGTGGTTTATATTACGATACTAGTATCAGGTAGCTCAACGCATATGTCAGGAAAATACTAGTCCGTTTAACGAGCACCCACCTACGTGTTCTGTGAAGCCAACGAATGTCAGTAGCATCATTCGTGAAATCCCATACATGACCATCATACAGTCAGCGTGGTCCGTCTGTAAAATACACAGCAGTTGCTCATCCATTCTGTTATTCTACATATTGGTGAGCTAGGCAGTTCCAATATTCCAGGACAGTGTCACAGTATGCACTCTCTTCTCTTATTTATTTCTGAAATAACGTTCTTTGATGTCAGCGTCTAAATCGCGTACTTTATATTACACACCTCTATCTCCCTGAGAGTAAACCTGTGTATACATGTAGCAATGACACAACACCCTGTAATCACTGTGTCGTTTATATTGACAGTAAACGAGACGTGTGTACACATGTAACGGATACTGATCAGGGGCAAAGGTATGTATTTTCTCCAAGCGAAAAAGGGCCCTCATTCCTATAAATATTTGATACGTTGACCTAATGTGAATGCCAGAATACCTTCGAAATATTCCAGAATAATGTACCAAGGAGTGACTGAGTGAGTATGGTTTTACGCCACTTTTAGCAATATTCCAGCAATATCACGGCGAGGGACACCAGACATGGGCTTCACATATTGTACCTATGTGGGGAACCGAACCCGGGTCTTCGGCGTGACGAGCGGGCGCTCTGGCCACTAAGCTACCCCACCGCCCCTTGTACAAAGGAAGTGAGATGTAGGGATTTGTCCGGGTCAGTGTCACCATCCTCATCTAGCACTGCAGCTATGACCTATCTAAAGATAACAGAATTATCCTTACACCCTGTAAACAGCCGAACATCGTTGTGTTGAAGTTGAAGAAACACGTAAATACGTCGAGTTTCACAAGGTTCAACACAACATTAAATAACGGCTGAAACAAATTCGGAGGCATTTACTTCGAGACAACCGTTGGTTCCATACATCAAAGTTCCACACAACGGTGTTTATCTGTACTTCAAGAGCTTCGTGTCAACAGAGCTGCATTAACCTGTATATGTACATAACATGGGACGGCCACGGGCGTTCCGGAGTCTCCGTGGCGTAGTCAGTAAGCTATCCGTCACAAGATAAGATAATGTTATACAGTCAGCTTGGTATTTATTTTCTCAAACAAGGAAGTTGTTGTTGTTACGCACTCATTACAGTGCAAATATTACCACGCTATTATTATCAGCGTATACACCCCTCTGCCATCTTCACTCGCCATCTGCGGGAGTACAACAGGCTAACTTTCATCCCATCCTCGATAATCTCCACTGGAGAGTTATCGTAACGTATACCCTGGAGATTATCGAAGATGACTTTCATCTATGCGAGATCATTTCAGCGGTCTGATGAGTTTTACTTTCATTCCCTGGTTCTGTTAAGGTGTAAGGGTCAGACGCTATGTGCTCAGGTTCCCGTACCTCTTCACAGATACATGCATACCTTCCCTTAATCACATTATATTATTCATTCTAAAATAGTTTGTAAACTTGATAAGTAACATAATGTACCAATGTTTGTTGTATGTTATGTAAAAGATAAACCAGTTAGGGCTTTCCTCAGAGATACCATTTGGTGTACAAGACAAAAGAGCTGTGAAAATCACGTGAATGGATCACTGAAAATCAGTGATGACACCAGGTGTTGCCCTACTGGAAAAGTGTAGGTATGTCCTTGTATTCCTACATGGAATGTCACCATAGTTACAGCATCCCCGTTTAGTCTTACAGTGTGAATGTCAATATAGAACTTACAATGTATGCGTTTCACGTTACAGCGACAAGTGTATTATACGGAAGTACTTACCAACTTAGCCTGGTGGACGTGTACTCACCAATGTTAGTCTGTGCAGCCTACAATGGAACACGAGACGGAAGACAAACTGTGACAACTGAAGTTTCCTCTTCTCACCGTCAGTGTTGACAACACCAACCAACAGTCTGTATAGCATATGGATACACCCAGAGTGATAGCAGCTACTTTGTCACTCACAGTTTGCAGATTCATAGAGCTTTGTCACTCACAGTTTGCAGACTAGAGCTGCGCATTTCAGTCACAATATTGTAAATAGTAACTAGGGCGTGAATCTTTCCAACCCGGAAGTACGTTCAATGATTTAGGCTCAACACGACCGGGATGCGGTTTGATCTACCCACTGATATGTGGGCATGTTAAAGTCATGTTGCATACCATTCACAATTTCATGCCAAACCTCTCTCTCTCTCTCTCTCTCTCTCTCTCTCTCTCTCTCTCTCTCTCTCTCTCTCTCTCTCTCTCTCTCTCTCTCTCTCTCTCTCTCTCTCTCTCTCTCTCTCTCTCTCTCTCTCTCTCTCTCAATGGTATATCACACAATGCTTTCATTGCTGCTTTTACACTGATGCAGTTCCAAATGTTTGTACTACAAACAATAAGAGTTGTTGGAAACGTGCAGATTGCGAGTTTGAAAAGCATGTTTCAAAAAGGTCAGTCAATGTTGATATTGACATCGACAATACCAGTGAACGGTAACAAACTCCCACTTCCTAACCCGTTATCTACTTGTGTGAACCAGTTTGAGTCCTGTGGATGACAAACCTGTGTTACACTGGGACGTGTATATATTCTGCGATCCCCTCTCGTGCTACGATGTGAAACAGTGTGAGCACCCAGACTGTACTTTAGATGAACCAGTAACGCATACTCCTCTGAAGTCTTAGTAACAAATGTATCAATGAACGAATTGCGTTCCACCCTCGTTTAAGCCTGGTTGTTACATTTGTTTGAGTGGCATTCTAGAAGTTGGTGGTATAGAGATGACACAACTTTAGGATATATCATATGCTTGAAAACGGTATAAGAATCTATACCGAAACGTCGCCATTGTGAAAATAAAGAAGTTGGTCATGCATAACGTTTCGTCATCTCTGGCTGCTACACTTGGTTACAGAGAAAGTCACAATGTAACTGTAATTGTGTATGAACAGAGAATACTGTACTCGTGGGATACCATGGAAGATAAACGAGTTCCGTTAACACGGTATCTAATGGGTGGGTGTGTTAGTTTGATCACCCAATTCAAATGACACATGTAAATATATATGACAATGTCTGTTTGTTCCAAGGAAGTACGTCGTCATATGAGCGAAATATTCTCAAGCACGACGTAAAACCCAATTTCACCTCACCTCACCTCTAATGAAATACATGTACTGTTGCAAATCCAGTAGCGTATGAATATTGATATGTACTTTTCAACGTTTGCTAAGAATCAAGTTTTGATGATATCAAACAATCATCCAGCAGATAAAGATTAAAATATCCCGGTACACGATGACAGGTAACCCCTACTGGACCTCAGTTTCAAGATGAACGAGCTGCAGATCGCCTTCTCCCGACATCCTGTCTCCCAACAACTGTTCAGGTTTGTTACTTTGTTATGTAACGTCTAACTCAGCAATATTCCAGCTTTATGGCGGCAGTCTGTAAATAATCCAGTCTGGACCAGACAATCCAGTGATCAACAGCATGAGCATCGATATACGCAGTTGGGATACGATGACATGTGTCAACCAAGTCAGCAAGCCTGACCACCCGATCACGTTGCTCGCCCCTTACGGAATGCATGGGTTGCTGAAAACCAATTCTAACCCGGGTCTTCACGGGTTCCAACAGCACTGGATGTAATCTTGTGTGTTTTGAAATATGGGTTTATTTCTGTGATTTGCTGACGTTTCAATTTCGGTCAGATACTTTAATTTTGACATGTCATCTGAGTGATTATTGCTCACATGCTGTTAGTCATTGTCATGTCAGACCACAGACTTCACGCCATGTTGACTGTGGTTATCTCAACACATGCACTCGATTAGATTATTTCCTTAAAAGGTCATCAATAACATAGAGAAGCATACGCTCAAACATGGACGATGTGAACATGTCTGTGTACACACATTAATCAAAGGTTCTTTGTTCTGTTACGCCCATTAATGATTTTATGAGCACTTCAGTCAGTTTACCCTAATAGAGTTACCTCCCCCGGTGGGACTCTTCCGGAGGAGATAGACTTGTGATCCCTCACAACATGATGTCGTCTGCTTTCAGCAGCTCATATTTAGGAACCAATTAACCAAGGTTAGACAATTACACAGTCCCCACAGTGGAAGTTTTATTCCCTTTTATCTCTGTAAGGTTTTTGCCACTTTCACTATTACTTTTAGTCAGGAAATGAGCATTAAATGAAATTTTAAATGTTTTGAACTTGTTCTGTGTTTTGGCTCCATTAGCAGAGGTCACACATTTTTACTTCACTGAAAATATGATTTTATATTTGAATTCTCCCTTTATTAATTATTGATGTAGGAATCATTTCCATGAATTAAATGCATTCTTGTTTCATATTAGAATGTCTAAATAAGCTTAAACATTTTGTACAGTTTTATTTCAATGACCTTTTGAATTATCAAGTCATTACTGATTTATTTAGCCATTATTGTAGAACTAATTCGATCTTTTTATGTCCATTTCAGTCTTTTATACAAGACTGAATAACTGGTCACAGTACATTCTTGCTAGTAGGTGTGCTGTTATGACAGTAGCAAGGATCAACTTCAATATTTACCTTTAACTTCAACTAAAGATAGTTCAAGTGCATGGAACAGCTGCGACCGCTCAACACAACGCCAAATAGGGCGGGTCTCCTAATCTCAGGTCCACATTCTGACGCCGCCCACAGCCTCGTGGTGCATTGCTCGGTTTCCCAGACGCATCAGCACGTTTATACCTTGGGAGTGATGTCAATGTGACGGAAAGGGAAGAAATATTATCTGTATAACACTGCACTGAGTAAGAAGAAATAACTATCATCTAACACTATTGTTTTACAACAAAGATCAACAATAGTACTCCTCACATCTCGGGTGTCTTGGGCGCCAAGTCTGAAGCCAGGTACGCGTTTTATAAGTACCGCCGTTTTATAAGTACCGCCGTTTTCACTGGTATTAGACAATACCATGTCAGGGACACCAGAGATGAGCTTCAGACAACGTACCTAAACATAGAATGTGACCTGGGCGTGGGAGGGAACGCTTTAACCACTCGGCCACCTCACCGCCTGACCAAACCACCAAAGCCATGACACCAGATGAAAGGTGTGGATTCGAGGGTCTAAGAGATCAGTTCGGACATATGTACCCAAGTAGCGTCTGCCACATCTGACCTACTAGTGTCATGTTGGGATGAACGTCGTTGTTTTCTGATGCTACACTCATGTCCCAGAAGTCCAGGTAATACACTTTGTCCTGGATGTCTTCAAACTCTTTCTTCAGTATCTGTTGATGAATACTCCCCCAGTAGTCCTCGATCACACCACGTGCGTACGTAGTGATGCGGAACGAGTGGGGACCTTTCACGAACACCCTCGCTTTGGGAGCTCGTTCCAGAAGCGCCTTCACTGATTGGACTGTCCGTCTGACGTGTGTCCTTAGCAACGTCGGAGGGTAGGCAGTGAAGTGTAGGTAGAAGTGGATGATGACGATGTCTCTGTTGCCTCTCGGAAGCTCGTCTATGTAGACATGGGTTGCCTTGTGGGCTTCCAGGGGAGTAAATTCACCAGAGTTTGTAAACGGCAGCTCGTGGGTGCCCCAGAATACAGCGTAGTTGTAGGCAGCGTTGAATAGAGTCGACGGGAGTGGCCATGCTGGGTAGCGCCATACATCGGACACCAGAGTCACATTCTGACGTTGTTTCAGGTATGAGAACCACTGGCGCAATGTGGAGTCTCCGTGCATCCATATTCTTCTGTTACGTAGACACAGGTCCCAGCTCCGTACAGTGTCAGGAAGGGTGTTGGTGCAGGCTGTAGAACGCCATTTCCAGTTGAGGAAGTAGCCGACAGGGGGCGCTTGTCTCCACGTGACCAGTGCTGGAATTTGGTTGCATGGTGTCTGTACAGTGAACGGGTCTCTACCTGGTTAAAAGAACATAAATGAGTGGCTGATGAAGAATGACGATGATCATCGATTGACGTTAAGAAAATTATTTACTACAGCACTTCAAGAGGATTCTAGGATTCAGTACGCCGTTTACTTTGCATTTTGATTGAGAGAGATAAAATTTACAACAGTACAACATTTTGCCTGTATGAATAATTTACTGACTGGGGTAATAACATGTATTTTTAATATGACAGTAATATAAATCTTACCATGAGCCTCCGTGGTGACGTGCGTGCGAACATTTTGTTGTGCATTATGTCTGCAATAGGAAGTTATGTTATGAATCTGATCAATATGCACATGAATCTGTGTTGATAATGATAAAGTATACGATAGCTTGACTGGAATTTCGTTGTTATGGAATGAATACCCATTGCATTTGTATGTATTTTGGATGATTGCAGTAATGTGCTTTAGCTGATATACTTTTCAAACAGCTTCCGTTCCTCTTCTAACATCGGCCATGGAGGCTGAGAACCACCTATCCGGGTCCACTCTGCGCATGTCAGCACTTCCGGATGTCCACAGAACCAGGGGAGGCCATAATGTCGTCTCGTGAGGTTACACACTCGCGAGTACCCGGTCAAAAACGGGGAGGGGCCACACAGAGTCATCTCATACATAAACCTCCTCTGAAATATTGCAAACAGCTGCCTCACTAAGTGACCTTCTCTGTGGATCTTATACAACACTCTCACAGCCTCCCTGGACAAGGCCACTGCCGCGAGAACCTCCACCCGCCCTGGCCATAAGACACGAACAACGCCAGTATAACTTCCGTTTCGGTGATCAACGACATATCCCCTTGCGCATGCGCCTTGACTTACTTCCTTTATCCAAACCCTGACCCTGTCTCCACCTCGAAGTAGGCGTTTGTTGTATCCATTCAGCAACTCGACTGATACGTGTATGACGTCACCCACTTCATAATATGGTTTGGGATTCACAAGTGTAAGACTCGAATAGGAAGCATTCGCTATAGCCAACTCATTGATACTTCGATCTCCGTCGAATCTATAATCGATTACATATTCACCGTCCTCGTATAGCCCATTCAGGACATTATCGTCGAATTCCGTAAACAGATCTTCGTGTTTTAGCCTCTGAAGACGCTCGGGAAACACAACGTCTGTGTCATCTGTGGCAGTGTCCGACAGAGACCCTATTGGTGCATCTGCGTGGTTCCCAAGACGTCCCCGGTATGCTGGAAAAATTGACCTGTGGAAAGAACCATTTGAAACTCAATAAATGCACTTCAAGTAATGTGCTTTACCCGCCACCGCAATCCAGACACTTTTCTTGACGTAATACAAACTAGCATTATTTTTGTAAATAATATTTCATCATCTGTCAATGATTACGTCACTTGACCTACTTTGAGAATTCGTCTCATACACGTCATAACACGTCCACAACAAGACCTTTGACCGCAGCATAGCAACGGGATTTCTGGGGTCACAGAGGTCCTACCAGTGGTGTGATATCTCTGCCAGCCCAACGATGTCGCGATCGTCTACGCCCACAATCTCACGTTTAGTGGTTAAAGCGTTCACTCGTCACGCCAAAGACTCGGGTTCGAGTCCCCACATCGGTACAATCTGTGAGGACCATTTCTGGTGTCCCTCGCGGTGATGTTGCTGGCATATTGGTAAAAGCGACGTAAAACTAAACTCACTCACACACTTCGGATATGTTCGATCATTCCGGCAACTAGCGACACAGAATGTCACATGAGATCCTATATAACATATGCTCTTTCTTACAAGCATTTGTTCCAAGGGCCGTGTGGTTTCAGAAATGTGTCGACTTAAATGTGCCGAAATCTGTGTTCATTAACTTTAATCTCCTGATCTGTAATACCGACAGCTGTTATGTACAACAGACTCAAGTGGTTACTCATATTGTGATATTCAACCGCGCTCTACAGCTGTATTTGTACAAGTTCTGTTACACGTCAGTTGGGACTGGGGATTTAGTAATCATACAGGAATTTCATACATGTTTAATTCATCTTCGACTGTCTGTGTTAGTTCAGGTTTGGCTATGCATAGTACACATATTTGTTGTTAGTTCTTTATATACTCTCCAAAAAAAGAAACGCATCATGAAAATAGCAATTTCATGTAGCAATGAATTAAAACGTGATTCATTTTACAACAGGTTTTGCTCTGATTATGAGTCCTATGGTGTTTATGTTTTGAAACATCACAACAAAACGCACCATCCGTAAAATACCCTTATTTAACAGCATGATTTTCAATTTCGGCGTGTAGTGTCACAGAATACACAATTCACATGCAATGCACGTGAAAGATGGTTATCAGATAGTCTCAATGATGGGTATAAAAGGTTGATCGCTGTCTGTCGATTATTCACTGCATTTGGAATGTTGTTGACGAACGCAAAATGCCACGTCAAAGTGAAGCCAACCGTCATATCGCCATTGGTTTGCTTGAAGCTGGCCAGTCTCAACTTGCAGTTGCCCGACGCATGAATGTTCACCAAAGCACCATTTCACGGCTCTGGGAGAGATATCGCCGGCAGAATGCAGTAGCAGATGCCCTCGTAGGTGGACAGATTCGGCCGGGGCAGTGTTATGATGTGGGGAGGATTTAACCTGCCGTAGGAGAAGTGATTTGGTGATGACCCAGGGCAACCTCAACGGTACTGTGACGAAATCCTACGCCCACACCTCCTTCCAATCATTGATCGCCAGAGGGAGTTGTTTCAACAGGACAATGCCAGGCCCCACACAGCACGTCACACTAGAGACTTCCTCCAGAACCACAACATCAATGTGCTCCCCTAGCCCTCCAGATCACCGGACTTAAACCCGATCGAACATCTGTGGGATGCCCTGGGCAGACGGGTGCGACGCCGTAACCCTCAGCCCTAGACACTTAAGCAACTCGAACAGACACTACAGGCAGAGTGGGTTGCGATTGGGCAACACGAGATTCTGAGACTTGTTCGTTCGATGCCGAGGCGATGCCGTGCAGTTCTGGATGCCCGCGGTGGTCACACGAGGTATTGACTTCAGCACCACCACACGTCTCCATGTGACACTCAAACTGACTTTCCTCGAGTTGGTGCCAAAGACGAATAAGTCTGCATTCCCGGTGTGCAATCTCGCTATATGTCATTGACACATAAAGCCTACAAGATGTTTCAAAATAAACATAAAAATACAGTTGAAATTCCTATATGCGTTTCTTTTTTTGGAGAGTATATTAAAATGGCCTACCAAACAGATTACATGGATTAGCGATAAAATCGTCCGACAAATTTGGGTTCTATATATATTAATCAGTACTCATGTAAACTGCTGGGCAAATAAATATGTACCCGTCAAGTTCTGAAAATTGAATGTCTCACTGGACAAGGATATATGGGTTGTAGGGGCTAATGGGGGCTAGGAATGTACGTCACCAAAATACCACTTTCTCACATGCAGTCCCGTTGGAGATAAAGACTCCTGTTGCTACGTCAGGGGGATTAGATGGTTACTACGTGTATACAGCCCATAAGGGGTTAAATATGTGATCTTATTATGAAACGTAGTAAGCGAACACGTGGACCTGGATATACACGTAAATACAAGACTTTATGGTGTATAAAGGAGCACAGTCTGTTGCCTACAGTGTCTGTCTACACGTTGAGATTCTGTCCTGTGTAGACCTGGATATACACGTATATACAAGACTTTATGGGTGTATAAAGGGGCACAGTCTATTGCCTACAGTGTCTGTCTACACGTTGAGATTCTGTCCTGTGTAGACCTGGATATACACGTATATACAAGACTTTATGGGTGTATAAAGGGGCACAGTCTATTGCCTACAGTGTCTGTCTACACGTTGAGATTCTGTCCTGTGTGGAACTGAAACATGTTGTGTTGCAGTTATTCAAGGTAATAATTTACTGATCGATCCACATTCTAACCTGTTCGCTGGACAACCTCAGCTGTGTTGAGTTTGGCCGAGCCTTCTGGTCTCCCTTTCAAGACGGCAAGTTACGTTCGTTTCACTGATACTAAGGCTTCAGTTTTCATAATTATGTCTTAAATAAATCTATAGGAATACACAATACCATTTAGAAAGTGGTCAAATGTAACATATGTTATATTTGGTATTACCCTTCCTCAGTAAAGTACAGATTCTAGTACTTTTGTCGGGTTGAGTCCCATCCGGGATTCGAACCCACACCCTCAGAGTCAGGCACCTGATCGCCAGCACACAAAGTCAGCCGCCTAGCCCGCTCAGCCACCGCGACTTCCACTGAGCGGGACTCAACCCAACAAAAAGTACTAGAATCTGTACTGTACTGAGAAATTGTAATCCCAGATATAGCATGTTAAATTACATACGGCGCACTACGTCCTACTCGCTCAAAACTTCAATGATTTTTTTTTAGAAAAGCTCAAATAATAGTTGAGAAGAATTTCATCCATTTAAAGAAAACTTTTTCTTACCACGTAATAATTGTCCAGTAGAAAACCAGGAGTCCGATGCAGACTGTGAACACAACCAAGAGCAGTCTGAGAGAAGCATTGGGAAGTGTCTGCACCATTATGTGACGCCGATACTACCTCACCTGCAAGTAAAGCTTGAATGTGCACGCAGGAAATAGATGTCCAAAAAATATTCCCCTAAATCAAGGAAACACAATATTTAGTGCACAAAAAAACTAAAGAATAAGCCTTGAGACGGAAGACATTTAAGGGATTTGTTTTTTAATTTAAGACCGTGAAAATGTTTAGGCTTTCATTAAGTAACTTTAGTGCATCGCATTATTTTGGCAAATACTTAAAAATGGTAGGCATTTATGTAGAAATTATCTAAGTAAGTATTTAAGAAATTATCTTTGAGTAAAACGCTTCATAATTTTATTATTATTGCTGTCAGTCATACATGTAGATTAACAGTAATAACTATATTGACTAATTGTTTTGCTTCAGACGCAGATGTTGTTCTAAACGATATGATTGCTCCGTGAATGAACAATATTACTGACTGTAATCTGCAGATGTATTTATTTAGTGAACAATGGACGACATTTTAAAAGTGGTTTTAATAAAAAAATCTATGTCATTGTGATATGTTCCGATATATTGCAAGCAATAATATCACATCATCTGTAAGCATTAATCATGTGACATATTTTCTGTCATCTAGGAACCCAGGACTTCGATTTCCTTTCCCTGAAAATTACTCTGCGGGAAACAATAAAACACATGTTGACCACAACAGAGGCCGTGTGCTATTGTCCGACATACACAGTGGCTATGTGGTCGCTGATCTGTGTCACTACTTGCCTGATCTAGTGGAATGGAGAAATGCGTAAGTTATTATCTACTCGTGAACATACTTGCAAATTAACATTTTAATCTGATTATGTTTTCTATTCAGCAAATGGAGTTTTCATGTCACGGACCAAAATACAGCATAAACTGTTTCCCTATAAACCTACGTTCATTGGTGGCAGTATATAGTATACAGCATGGTTACAGGACATGATTCCAATACATGTATAGCTTTCGAAAAAATATGTGCGTAAAGGTTTTGAAAGGTGCGTTAATGAAATATTATCTTACCTTCATGTAAAATACTTTGATTTCATGGGTCAATGACGCGTTAACAAGTTTCCGTGTCACCCCTCCCAGGAGGGTGACAACTGGAAAAAATATTACCCGCTGCTACAGTAACCGCTAAACTCTCCGCCGACAAACTGTATCGCTAACAATTCGTATGACGTCATAAATGACGCGTGCAGGAGTTGGAAAACCGTTCGATTAGCTGTTGTTTAGTTCACTGTGTACACATTTATTTTACCGACTTTCACTGCATTAGTTAACCTATTTTATACATTGAATCGTTTGCACACTCAACTTAAACATAATTAGCCATTTTTATAGCAGTTTTAAGCTTGTCGGAATATGTTTCACTGATGTTAAAAGTCCAGTTGAGAGACAGACGCCATTTTGTTTACATGTCATACAGTCGGAAGCAATCTTCAAAATTAAATGAAATGACATTTTGTCCATTTAACATGGCGGTAAGATAAATACGTTGTATGCTCCCCCCTCGGGTAATACGGTCTGATGTACGCCTCTTTGTAGCAGTGTCATCCCTCACATACCGGCTCCGGTAACACTGTACAAAGAGGCGTACATCAGACCGTATTACCCGAGGGAGAAGCATACAACTTATATTACCGCTCGACCCAATTTGAATATGATGCTAATTTCGTATGGAATCTTGCACTGCTTTGGCTCGAATTTGAAATAGGTTTCTGCTACAACAGAACTTTGTTTTAATTTAAGGTAGAGTACTGTTAGTTTTTGACTTTCTGGTTTTAATGTCTGATAAAGGAAGAGTGTATTTTTCGAAATGCTTCAAATCAGATTATTGTTACATTTCCAAACAAACGTTGGATGTGTGTAAGTGAGTTCATTTCCGGAGCCTCATGCATGATATAATCTGCCCGATATTACTTCCGAACAAGTACGGGGGTGATGTATATTTCTATTCATTATATCTAGAACTTTAATATTTACCATGTAGGAACCCTGCCAGGGGTTGTTCCCTGAACATAACTGTTCTATATTTTCCTTTTTATGAAATATATTAACATTTCAAAACTTCTACAAGAAATGTAAAATCAATCTTATCATATTTGCTGAGTATTTGCAGATACTCCCTACAGCGTGTCACTGTAGCGTCACACAACACTATCTTCTCCAGTGACGTACAGAAACTCCGGGACAGTGTCTACTGACAAGACCCCTTGCATAAAGCAGGGCAGTGCTGTACTTCCTGTATTAAACACGACAGTGTAATCGCTACTTGGTGGCTTCGTGACACGGAGCCTAGGCCAGGATCGGACATCCTGCATAATCTGGTCTGCAGATCAGCTCTAAAGCCTACCTCCTCCGCTATCCCGTTGGTCTATATCATTGGTATAATTTTCATAGAAACTATACTAGCCACATCAAGAAACTGTGCATAACTGGTTATATATCTCGGGGCGTCAGCTCCATAACCGTGTCCATGGGCTTCAACAAAGTGGTGATCGTTTCACACCTGAATCTGTTCATGCTTTACTCCACCCCAAAATACAATGGGTATGTTATGTAACGTCAAATCCAACTCAGTAAAGTATCCAACATATCCAGTATACCCGCCCCGCCTTTTGTTTTACCGTTTTGAGTGATGTATATCACACGTCCGATATGCACCTCGCCTCTACTTTAATTCTTGATAATGTAATTATCGTATACTAGCCACATAAAGAAACTGTGCATTGTCAAAATATTATCCCAGTTGATAAGTACGATAACAATGTCAAAGGTACATATAAACTTGAATGGAGGGATCATGAGACCATTACAAGTCGGGAGAATGTCAATTAAAAAGTCAATCACAATGACGTCACGAGTCCACAAGCGGGACAGGGGTCAAACGACCATGTCACAAGCTCAATAACGGGTATGTTCACCATCGGCATTGAGAACAGCAGTGCATCGACGACGCATAGAGCCTATCAAACGTGCAAGGAAGGCTTGTGGGATGTCACGCCAGATTCTCTCAAGTTCAGTTGCAAGGTCAAGGACGTTATCTGGCGGATGAGGAGGACGGCTTAGACGTCTATCCATCTCGTCCCAAACATGCTCTATCGGGTAGAGATCCGGTGAATTTGCAGGCCAAGGCAGTAAGTCAACGTTGTGGTGTTGCAAGAAATCCATAGCAACCCATTGTCCTGTTGGAATGTTAACCCAGGGCCATGACGTTGCAGAAAAGGAATTGCCACAGGTCGAAGAATCTGATCCCTGTAGCCCACACCAGTTAAGTTGCCCTAAACAATCACCAAAGGAGTTCTTTGGCGTGCTGTTATTCCACCCCAAATCATCACGGAACCACCACCAAAGCGATTCCTCTCCAAGACACAGGCCTGTGCAAAACGTTCTCCCACGCGTCTATAGGCACGTTGACGTCCATCACTATGGGAAATGTTAAAGCTGGACTCATCTGTAAAAACAACATTTCTCCACCAAAACAAGGGTCTGCGGACATGATTTCGGCACCACATTCGGCGAGCTTGTCGATGACGTTGTGTCAGGATAGGCCGTATGGCGGGACGTCGTGGTCTGATCCCGTGATGACGTAAACGTTGTCGAACTGTGTTGGGATGGATACGGCGAAGTCCTGGGATGGTTCGGGCAGTCATCACTGCAGTCTGAAACCTGTGGCGAAGATGGGTCACCCTTATCCATATGTCCTGTCTTGGTGTTGTTACACGTGGACGTCCAGAACGTGGCCGATCGATGACGTCATTTGTGTTCTGGTAGCGTCTCACCAGTGCAGAAATGGTGTTCCGGTGGCAGTGGAAATGTGCAGCCACTTGTCGTTGAGACATTCCCCCACGGACCATCCCAATGGCCTCATGACGTTGTGCAGACGTGAGCCTTGGCATGCTATGCGTTTCAATAGCCGTTTAATTTTTTGAACGATCGCAAGGGCAGGGGTTGAGCTTTCCAAAGTGACACTATTGTGTGGCATTCATTTGCACTGTTTCTCTTTCCTCGAGTGCACGTGCAACAACGTATTGCACGTCTCAAGGGCGAACCCACTGACGTCACGGAACGTGGCACGTGCATGCATGTTGGATACATGTCACTAATCTCTAAGTTTGAATCCTTATGTGTTTGATAAATTTAGATTTTAAATTTTTGAAATTATCAATTTATTTCGATATTAAAAGTGTTATCGATAATATCGTACAGACAAACAAGTTTTAATTTTCACACATAACATACAAATTTAGGACACAATTCATGGACTGCTTCTAAATTATGTTCAGGACACTGTTTTGTTGGTAGTCCATGAGGTTATCTCCCAGCACTTCTACATGCCAAAACCTCTACATGCCAAAACTTCTACATGCCAAAGCTTCTACAAAAGACCAGGGTAGCCTAATGATTAAAGCGTTGACTCGTCACGCCGAAGACCCGGGTTTGATTCCCCACATGGACACAATGTGTGAAGACAATTTCTGGTGTACCCCGCCGTGATATTGCTGGAATATATGCTAAAAGCGGTGTAAAACCATACTCACTCACTCACTCTACAAACAGTCAAGGCAGAATTATGCACGTACCTATGGGTATAATGGAACAGCCCAGGGGCGAGATAATAGAGGGAGAAGTTGGGAGTAGAGGACTCAAGAAGTAGAGGAATAAAACAGTTTTCAGTAACAACTTATTACATGTACTTACATTCTCTTCCCACAGAGGTTACTCCTGTCATATCTTCCTACGTAACCTCTGTTCTAATACGGCCCTTTCATGGTGTGAGCGTTCAAGACTCGTGATTGGAGCCAATCAGATTTAGTTGTGCAATCAGCGACGTTGTTTCAAAAGTGATCATTCGCAAGGCCTCGGTAATTTCCGCATACTTCGAGAAAACTAAACCTCTTCCCCTGCGCGATGCGCAAACGTTTCTTCTAGACAGAACTCAGTCATGTTATGGCGGATCAGTGGTGTCTCCATCGCCCTCGTTGACAACGGACAAGCTAGCCATTAAACGTCTTGTGTGTAACATCAACACAAGTCCCCGGCAGATGGGGGGATATTTGTGGCCTCACATTTGCTTGTGTTAGTCAAGTTGAATCTAAGCCGACGTAACACGTGTTCTGATTGGATAGAAAGAAGGGAGATAATTCCTGTTGCGATCTTTTGCCGCTAGGGGATTTTACGAGAACCGGGAAATATGGCCGTATTAGAACAGAGGTTCGTAGGAAGATATGACAAGTTACCTCTGTGGGAAGAGAATGATGTACTTACTGAGTAAGATGAAAGAGTTTTATGTGCATACAGTAACATGATCCAAGCCCACCAATTCAGTGGAGACATGCAACAGTTATAATTTTAAACATTTAATATAGTAAATTAGCTAATAAAAACTTGATTGAAGTTGATATTACAAATTGAGAGATTAAAACTGTAGTATATAACCTATGCCAACCTGCAGTCGCCGACATAGGCTACAGTCTGAAGCCGACGTTAAACTCCAATTGATGATGAAGTAGGAATATGCAAAATGGCTGGCATGAGAAAAGTAGAGTTTGTAACCGCGCAGAAAGACCCCACAAGACTGAAGTGCAACAAAGGCTGAATCGTTCCCTAGCACCCGCCCGTATTCAAACTGACTTTGAGATCGGTGCCATCCGTGCAGTGGAAAGTGAGTTTCCTGGTATCGAAGCGAAGGGATGCTTCTTTCACTATTGCCAGGACATTTGGCGCAAGACTCAGGACCTCGGACTGGCCGTTCAATACAAGGAAGACCCTGCTGTCCAGACATGGATCAGAAGAGCTGCCGGTCTTGCCCTTCTCCCCGTAGATGTCGTCCAGGACACTTGGGTTGCTGTCATGGAGTCAGTCTCAGATGTGCCTAGAGCTACTGCCTTCAACGACTACATTGTCTCCACTACATTGTCTCCACGTGACGATGACACCAGACTCCCCATCCAAGTTTGTAATCTTCACCTGACAGTCGGACGTGGAGGGATTCCACATCAGACTCAACCAGACCTTGCCCCATCGCCATCCAAATATCTTCAGATTCACTGAAGTGATAAAGAAGATTGAGACTGCGGACAAGACAAAGATTGCTCAACTTGAATTTGGAGCAGCCCCACCCACAAGAAGACGTGTCTACAGGGACACAGAGAATCAACTGATGAGACTGCAGACAAGGCAAAGATTGCTCAACTTGAATCTGGAGCAGCCCCACCCACAAGAAGACGTGCCTACAGGGAGACAGAGAATCAACTGATGAGACTGCAGACAAGGAAAAGATTGCTCAACTTGAATCTGGAGCAGCCCCACCCACAAGAAGACGTGTCTACAGGGAGACAGAGAATCGACTGATGAGACTGAAGGACAAGCTGCTCACCAGGCAGAAAACACCACTGGAATTTCTAGATGCTGTCGGCCACCTCCTAAAACTTGCCTAATGACATTAGAACAATCAGACATTATGTTGTGACATTTCAAATTGAAATCAGTGCTGACGTTGTTATAAGACAATACCATGTATTTTTTTTAAAATCATATGATATTATATGTATGATATTACGTGTTATGATATTTATATGTCAATAAACGCTTCATCATACACCTTTTACCTCTTGTACTTTTATTCAACTTGATCTTAAGCCTAATTAAGCCAAACTAGTCGGACTAGTCCATCCAGTGCACTTGAGGTAAGGGACAGAGGATTAGCTATGCATTGGACCATGTATTTTGTTGTTTTAGTCTGTTTTATCTACAAGTTTTGGCATGTAGAAGTTTTGGCAGGACACCGTCCATGCAAAACATGTCACCACTCACAAGTGATGTGAGATATATTCATTTCTTTCAGACTTTTTTTGTTTGGTGCATTCTTGCTCAAAGTTACGTCTCCGATATTTATCGATCATCGACCGATATTTGGTAAACGATTATCGATCTCTATGATCCTTACTGAGAATTAAAATGAGCAGTGACATTTTGGGTCGTAGAGTGAGTGAGTGAGTTTAGTTTTACGCCGCTTTGTAGCAATAATCCAGCAATATCACAGCGGGGGATACCAGAATGGGCTTCAAACAATGTACCCAAGTGGGGAATCGACACCGGGTCTTCGGCGTGACGAGCGAACGCTTTATCCACTGGGCACCTCACCGCCCCTTGGGTCGCAGATACACGACCAAGTTGAAAGCAACCGACTGGCTGTCTTTCTGAGTAAATGTTATGACACAAAGATGGACGCCAACCAACATCCGGCTTGTCATTGTGATCAACACTTTGAACCTATTGACCGACATGTGGTGATCCACTTCATTGTTGTTCAATCAACTCACGAGCTGAATCGGAGCGAGGGGGTTTGTGACGTCACTTCCGAAAGCCAGGTAGGCGAACGGTTGGTGTCTTACCGGGAAGTAGACATTTGTTATTACAGTAAAATCCTTTTGATGTTGGGGGGCTGACTGTGCATGTTGTTTTAAGGGATTTACTTTCCGGGTTATACTAAATTCTGAACTACCTAACGAAATAGATGATATAAACTCACCCCGTTTTCACTTACATGACTGAAATCAATAAAGTTGATATGAACTCACATAGTTTTTTTGACAATCATTGACTGACATTGATTGACACTGATCCCAAAATCACGACAAGAGATCGTAATTCCAGACGAATATGCGAATATTTTCTTATTTGTTGTTACAAACATCACAAATGTCTACTTCCCGGTAATAAACCGAACGGTTTAAGGTAAATACCAGGTTAATCGATTCGAGGGTGAATCTTGTCTCCACCCCGTGAGCTGATTAAATGACCTGAGGACAGCTTCCCGTAAGATTAAAGCCTACATGACATCTACTTACTCTAAGTCAGTACTGTACCCTGGCAGATCTCGGGTGTCATCATGGTCGATTACCGCTGCCATATCTGGACCAAACCTCCTCAATTTAGGTGTCGCTTTCGCGAAACGGTCAAGCTACAGTGAACCCTGAATTTAGCGGTCCCGGGACTCTCAATACACAAGAAAAACAAAGAAATGTGAGTCGTCGTCTGATACCGTAGTCATTAAATAAATAAATAAATAAATAAATAAATAAATAAATAAATAAATAAATAAATAAATAAATAAATAAATAAATAAATAAATAAATAAATAAATAAATAAATAAATAAATAAATAAATAAATAAATAAATAAATAAATAAATAAATAAATAAATAAATTTTTAAAAATAATAATAATAAAAAAATAAAAAATAAATAAAAAAATAAATAAATAAATAAATAAATAAAATAAATAAATAAATAAATAAAAATAAAAAATAACTAAATAACCAAAAACTAACTAACCAACCAACTAACTAACCAACCAACTAACGTTTAACCAACTAACCAACTAACTACGTTTAACGTTAGCAAGCCCTGGTGGAGCATACATATAACTAACTACGTTTAACGTTAGCAAGCCCTGGTGGAGCATACATATTATTTTCATGCATTTGTGATCAAACATTGTGAATTATCGCTGACATTTTATTTTGATGTACATTAGTAGCAAGTTTAAACCAAACTGAAATTATTCACTTCTTAATATATACAGAGATTTTTTATGCTTGGTCGTGGAGTGCCAGAAAGGTTGGGTTGAGTTGGGCTTTAGGTCACATCGGCATTATTCCAGCCATTTAGTGACGAAATCAAGTCTGCATTCATAAACATTTTAAGTACCAAGTCCACATGAGTTTTATTTTAAAAACATATTTATTCATGACATTGTTATTTAAAAACAGAAAATGTAACAGCACTTAATTCAAAGGCACTCACTTCGTTATTCGCATTACATAGTTACAATTTATGATACAGATCAACTTCCCCCTGGTAGTTCACTATGAGAAAAACAGATATCAGTGGTACACGAGTACAACAAAGGAGTACATACAAAATGTACAAGATGATTAAATAATACATCAATTAAAGTGTTTAATAAACAATCTAAAAATGAACTTGGATACATTTTAAGAGTAGATATTTTACTTGAAAAAAGTTGACGGAACTTTGATAAATTCGGCCAGGAACAATAAGGTTTTTTTAACAATGATAATAATTATAATTCATTATATGAATTAATAAAACTATAGTTAAAGGTCACATGCAACCAAAAAATCAAACATAATTATAACACAATTATCACTTATTCATGACATATAATATACATTGCTGGTTATGAAAAAACATATAAACAAAATTATAAGCGTACAATCGCAAATCAAAAGTGCAATATTGTGTGATTTGGGTTTACCTCCCAAGAAACGAAACAGCCGGGATACCGAACCCAGTCAGAGCGGGTGGGTGTGCACTCAAGTGTAACGGCTGGTTCATTTGCAGATGCCCTCACGGCTCATTGTGTGTGTATATATAGAGATGTTGGATTTTGTAAATACATGCTCATTTTTTGTGTATAACATTTTGCAATCAACAGACAGCATAACATGCCATGTGTTCAAGTATCACACCTGCCTGTCTGTGTAATTACATAATGTGACAGAGACCGAACTCGGGCCATAAATCAATGCATTTTGTTTATGGTGTATAGCCTGATTGGTGTTAAGTTCAAATTGCATGTGGTCAGTGATCGCAGCTGTGTATTGAATATTGTCATTAGCAGACAGGCAGGCAGACACACAGGTGTCAATAAAACAAGACATTGAGTTTTGTCTGTGACAACGACATACCTATATCACAGTTAGAAATTCTGTCAACGCTAAATAATGACATTACTTTTAAGTATCGAACTGAGAAAGTGACTCGGTAAGAAGAACGTGTGGTGAAATAGACAAATGAAATTATATAAACAGTTTATTTACTGTCATATAAAAAGCTCGCGCCTGTGAGATATCAACAAAACACTAGGAAAATAGCTCACACCAAAGCCTTCACCGAGTATTCACCGGACAGCCCGCTTCCAAGTTGCGCGAACCTATTTCACTGCGCACGTGCTATGAGCGCAGCCCAGCTGTTGAAACCAGTTTTCCCCAGAAAAGTCGCTGGGAAATTAGTGAATCGTTTGAACTCCGATTTCGCGCGGTTTTTTTTCATCGCGTTATTTTTCAACTTTATAAGTTGAATTTGCATTTTTGATGATTTGTTTCGGTAAGTCCATACCTAAAGGTATCAGAATCTGCAAAGTTGTGTTTTACGTTGCATGTGACCTATAGGGTGACGTATGTGCTGAAACTTGAAACAACTGAAACTTCATCTCAGTTAAGCGGCTCACAGATCGAGTATTGGGGTCGCGCGCTAATCTGAAGTACGATAATCCGATGTTTTCATAGCAATTCGCTTTCGCGGCACTTCTAGCACAACTTTGGTTTTCGCTTTACCGAGAATAGGGAATATTGAAATTTCGCTTTCCTGGGCCGACACCGTCACGGGTATGTTCATGTTGGACGTGACAAACCAGAGTTTGATGGCACGAGCAACGACCACCGCCGTACGTTGATAACAAATACGCCACACACTGTAACCATCAGAACCCTTGGTTTACTATACGAAGAAAGAATAGGATTGTGATTACCATAGCTTTGAAGACAAATGCCATTTGTGTACCCCATGTTGTTTACCCAGCCACACTGTTTTGTTTTTACCCAGCTTATGATACTTTAAGACCTTTACATCTACCAAAACACTGACTTGTTTGCCCAGCTTATGATACTTTAAGACCTTTACATCTACCAAAACACTGTTTTGTTTGCCCAGCTTATGATACTTTAGGACCTTTACATCTACCAAAACACTGACTTGTTTGCCCAGCTTATGATAATTTTTTAAGACCTTTACATCTACCAAAACACTGCCCAGCTTATGACTTTGTTTACCAAAAACACAGCTTATGATACTTTAAGACCTTTACATCTACCAAAACACTGACTTGTTTACCCAGCTTATGATACTTTAAGACCTTTACATCTACCAAAACACTGACTTGTTTACCCAGCTTATGATACTTTAAGACCTTTACATCTACCAAAACACTGTTTTGTTTGCCCAGCTTATGATACTTTAAGACCTTTACATCTACCCAAACACTGACTTGCAAATGTTAACATCTCTGTTTGCTATCAATTATTTTCCTGTACAAATACATTCTTTAACTTTGCACAATTTGTAAAACTTGTACATCTTAAAAGAAAAACAATCCTTTATGTTAATCTCAGGAAATACGGAATTTTCAAGAGTCTTACAGTCCTTATGTTTTGGACATATTTATTGACACAAACAAATAAGAAATTATGGCAACAATCTTATTACTCTGTATAACTCATTGTATACGCCAACTCTAAAATTTCGAAGCGATCAGCCGTTTGGCATGGACATTCCATCTAAGGTCGAGGTCATTTGTACAACTAGTGTAGTGTGTCACGTGACAGATTTGAAGGGGTGTACAGTGAGCCCGGTGTTGTACGCGACGCACAAATGCAGAGAATGGACGCAGATCAGTTACGTGCATCATTCGGTCAATATGATCGACCATTACTTCCCAGGACCCTCCTATTGCATGCAAGTCCCCTACAACAACTAATAATAAGTTGTATGTCAGGAAAATAGGAAGCAACACGTGTTTATCAAAATCATATTTAGGCTCATAGTCTTAATGGGGCGGTGAGGTAGCCTAGTGGTTACAGCATTCGGCCGTCACGCCGAAGACCCAGGTTCGACTCCCCACATGGGTACAATGTGTGAACCCATTTCTGGTGTTCCCCGCCGTGATATTGCTGGAATATTGCTAAAGGCGACGTAAAGCTAAACTCACTCACTTAATTAGAGAACATCCGGAGAATAACAGTGTATTACTTGTTTGTCTCCCTGTTGATACTGGTGATGAGCGTCAGGTTGGAGGAATCACATCTACACGTTATGGCCATGCTGGCAACACATAGCAAACTATCTCTCCTTACAACGGTCGCAACAACAGCTCGGTTTTATTTGTGTCTGTTTGACTGTTATTTAGATACATGTTTAAACAGTGTGCGAAATTGCCACTCGCCCGCTAGTCCGCGGCTAGTAAAAATCCAATCGGGCTAGTAAATCTCCACAGTCAGCCCGACTGGCTAGTGAATTTTCATGGGGTCATTTTGTAAATACATCCCTCTCTCCGACTTGTTAAGTTATAATACACTTTTAAATCATGGTATATTATGAGTGAGTGAGTGCAGTTTTATGCCGCACTCAGCAATATTCCAACTATATGGCGGCGGTCTATATATAATCGAGTCTGGACCAGACAATCCAGTGATCAACAGCATGAGCATCTATCTGTGCAATTGGGAACCGATAACACCTGTCAACCAAGTCAGCGAGCCTGACCACCCGATCCCGTTAGTCGCCTCTTACGACAAGCATGGGTTACTGAAGATCAATATTCTAACCCGGACCTTCACGGGTGTGCAAGATTATGGCCTGATAAAAATGTTCATCATATTAGCAGCTTAATGATGAAACCCCTGTCTACATTCATATTTCAGGCTATTGAATTATTTTGTTGGCTAGTAACTTTCAGGCATAGCCAGCCCGACTGGCTCGCATAATATTTGGAAACTATATTTCGCACACTGTTAACACATGAAGTTTGTCATTTCTGTAAATACCAGTACCACATTATAGTAAACATGTATACATGTAACATTAGGGGGACACTGGGCTAATTAAGTTGAAATTCAATAACGGGAAAGAAATAGACAAGGGTTCAAATGAACATCTATTTTTAATGAGTACATGGCAGTGTTTAGGTGTTTATTCTGTCTCTAAGCCTCATAGGTGACCCTGTAGACCATCACGCTGCCCTTGCTGACCGACACAGCCAACCGTCGGCCGTGGACAGTCTTCTGGAAGGAGATCCCCACACCATCCCGGAGACTTGACCCGTCAGGCATCACGTCGCCCATGCTCACATCAAGGCTGTTCACCCATCCGATTCCTTCGTTCTTCAGTCCGCAGAAAAATACATTTCCATTGCCATCCACGGTGACCCCTCTGAGCCGAAGTGTCGGATCAGCCACAGGTATTCTCTTTACTCGTTGGTCTGCATGTATACGGAACAAACAGTTCCGTCGCGTGTCGGACACTACCACCGAGCTGGGGGACTCGGTCGCCATGTTATAAGGGTTCTCAAACCTGTCTTTGAACGATGCAATGCAACAACAATTGTAGCCTAAAATGTCCACGGTATCTGTTGTCCCGGCCAGGATTTGTTTGACCTCAGATAGATGCGCGATGCCGAAATATCTCCCTTTTGGTCGTATGCATTACTGTCAAAAACTTCACTATGCCTCCCCGTAACTTAACAGTGATCGTGGCGATCTTTCTCAAAGAGGGCAGCGTGACAAGGACCGTGTCTTCGTCCTTACGGCAAATTCCTTGTATCCGACCAGCGTCTTTGCCGATTTTATCGAAGTAATGATCCCCTAGAAAAGTTCCTTCTTCGCTGAAAGCCTTCAGACAGCAATTGGCCCAATCCGCGGCCAATATGACACCTGATTTCAGTACCAACACCGACCTGATGTCTGGACGCACCTCGTCACCCTCATCAACAGTACAGGAAAACTCTTTTAGGAGGGAAAACCTGGTAGTATCACCACCGTGGAACGTTGTCATCCACCTCCATTCCGGACACACTGGAAGCAGCCGACGCTCCATCGGTGTCCAACACCTCAAGGTCAACGCTCGACCCTTCCTCGGGGATGTGGACGATGTTCCTGACGTCATGAGACGCACACGTCACAGAATGCGTGAACTCACAGTCCACACACATGGTCATGTCACAGTCGTGACACCTGCACGTGGCTAGCACGTGTTTCGGTCGCTGTTTGCACACCTGACAGTGGGATGTGTTTGCTGCTGGTAAGGCAATGTTTGTCGCCATCTGAAACATCAAATCACGAGGTCACTTACAGTGGGTGAGTGAGTCAGTTTGGTTTTACGCCGCTTTTAGCAATATTCCAGCAATATCACGGCGGGGGACACCAGAGGTCACTTACATCTACGTCTAAGGTTGCGACATTGTCTTGAGAACAGAAAGTGAATTACATTTGGGACGACGCTTTTTGTGGAAGCCGCGTTTGCTGAGGGAGTAAATCAATGGCTCATGGATTTTGGCCTCTCCTTGACTGTGTGGGTTCGAAAACCGGATGGAACTAGGAATCTGCAGTGTAATCCCAAACATACAACCGTTTACATTGTTCGATGCTCCGTTGAATATACTTTATCCAAACACATATCAATCTATATATAACACATATTTAAATACAAAGCAGCCAATGTTGGTCGATTGTTCTTACTTTTTCCTTATTTTTACAACTTTCGAAATCAGTTCAAATTATCAAATCATAAGCGTTGAAACAAAAATGAACTTTACAAAATCCGACACTCTTGTAGAGTTGCTTTATTTGATGTTCAGATTGTACCCAGATCATGTCGAATTTGAAGTAAAACAAATCGTGCATAATTAATTAAGCCAGAGATTATATAAATGTGAACAATAGTTAGTGTTACTTAATCGGCTTGACAGAGTCGAAGTGTTGATGATTTCGCACGTAGATTATAATATCACATGCGTAAATGCCGTATGGATGAGGTATCAATTGATTATCACCTACGAAGATGTAAGTATCATCTCCGATGAAGAAATGTATCATCTACATGCCAACAAAAATAGAATCAAGAGTAATGTGATCATGTCGAAAGGTCAATCCCCATTTCTACTTTCATTTTCGCGGTAAAACCACATCGTATTAAAACTGAAAGTAAATATTCTCAAATGGTTTACATTATAGTT